AATTTGAATGGGCTCTGAGTATTGGATGGTCCTGTTGAGCCAACGTGAATTTCCTTATTTGCGATGTATGTGGTGGTTATGTGGGAAAGCACCCTTTGGGGGCAGGCAGAATACACGACACAGAGCTGAGCCTTCTGCATGTCTACAGTTTCCTCTCAGTGGTTCAGAAAGACACAGTGGTAAGGGTACACATGCACAACACACGCACAGCGAATGGGGTCAAAGGTAACCACGGGATCATCTGGGATATGGGGTTCTGTGTACTATTCTTGCAACTTTCCCTACGTTTGAAATTATCTCAGAATAAATTACTTCTTAAAATGTGCGAAGAAGCAGGGGACAGATTTAAACATAAGATTAAGAAGGAATCCTATATAGTGTAGGACACATATCACTTTTTTTAAAGAGCCTGGTCTGCCTTATTTAACACACAGTGCTTAGAGAACAATCTTTAATTATCTCTGTATATTTAATTATATAAATACATCTGTAGGTACCCACTTAGGAGTTCAATACCAAAGATTCAGTTTCCATTATATTATTTTTCACTAAGTACATTGCTTTGTATTACGGGTAATTAAATATCATCCTTCTTATATAATAATATTAATGATAAGAATAATTCTTATTTATACTTAGAGAGCTCTTGTTATGTGCCATCACTGCGCTATTTTACATACTTTCACTTAATCCTCACAGCATTCTATGAAGTTGAAACTATTATTACCCTTATTTACAGATGAGGAAACTAAGACCCAGAGAAGGCATGTGTCTTACCCCAGGTAGTGGTAGGACTGGAATTTGAACCCAGGCAGCCTGACTCTAGGGTTTTTATTTTATTTTAGTTGAGGGGGGAGGTAATTAGGTTTGTTTATTTACTTATTTATAGAGGAGGTGCTGGGGTTTGAACCCAGGACCTCACGCATGCCAAGTATGTGCTTTACCGCTTGAGCTATACCCTTCCTACCCCTCCAGAGTCTATTTTCAATACACATTTTCTTCGCTTCCAGAGCACAACTTAAATTTCTTCAGGACAAGAGCTAGGACTCCTTCTGCACCATTTTCTTCCTCAAGAAGGTCTAGCACAAGGCCCTGTACATGACAAATAATTGGTAACTCACAGGCTGAGACCCAGGGGTGGAAGCTTTGTTTCAGTCATTCCCCGGACGGTCGTCAATTCACTGTGACGTAAGCACCGTCTCTCAAGAGAATACATTAAGGTATGTCTAAGAGATGGCACAGAACAGGGGGCCAGAAAGACAAATCATCCACATCAGTATAGGGCAGAGGCTCCTTTCAGTTCCACTAACAGGAACTGAGTAACTCTCACCACTCTCCATATGCCTGGTATTGAATCAAATACAGAGGTTTCAGATGTAGGTTTTACCCTCAAAAAAATTTATTTAACTTTTTTTTTTTTACCCTCAAAATTTTACAACCTAGAGCAAAAGATCCTGAGCAGAAGGTGCGAGTAGGGGTCGACTGACAAGGCAGATTCCTAGGTCCAGACCCACAGAACACATTTTGAGAAGCTCCTCATGGAAGGTATAGGATGGATGGCAAGATGAAAAGAGGGCACTCCAGGCTGGGAGAACTGAATGAGCTGAGATTCTGGCAGGAAAGAGCGTGTTGTGTCAGGGAGAGAAGGAAACCCTCAGCTGGGGCCAGGAGCGCTCGGGAGCACGCAGCTCCCAGGGCCCGCTGCCCTCTGTGGACGGGATGCAGCAGCCCCGGCACACAGGGGTGCATGAACACTTCCCCCTTTGGACCTACTCCCAAGTCCAGGGTAACTGTTATGTCCTGGTTTGCCAGGACAGTCCTGTTTTACTCCTGTTAATCCAGCATCCCTCTTGGTTAGTCTTTCATTCTCAAAAGCATCCTGTGGGATGACAAATTATACAGTCACCCTACTCAAACCTCACTTTACGCAACCTCACTGTAGGTTATTTTGCCTCGCTACTGCCCCCAAACCCTATTTTTCCCTCTTCGGGAGAAGGAGACTTAGAATCTGAATTACACACATTGGTTTAACTGCCTTCTCTATCAATGGATGCATAAGCTGTGTGTAGTCTATCTGATGAAAAAAAACTAAAATAAAAATATTGACCTGGCTTTCCTGGTGGTCTCAATCACCAAATCAAATGGGCCGCACATGTGATTTCATAACACGCACACACACCTACAGTATAAAAAAGTGTCCAGAAATGACATAATCCAAATCTCAAAGTGGTTTGTATTCCACTAGAAGCCTACTAAAATGAGAGGAAAATGTGTGTTCATTGGTGTTTCAAAGAAATGCAAATGCTACCTTTGTGAGTACTTAGACTGTTAGGTACAGACCACTGCTCTTAAGTAATTAAAGTCTATGGTGTTAGACGAGCGTCTCAATGAACACGCTTTTTACCACGTTTTACATGGAAATGTAGTGCTTATTTACATGTACTTTCAGATTTAAAGTTGAACAGGTGTCTTGGGGCCCTTCTGAGAATCCAAATGGCTTACGTAAATCCTTCAGATCAAAGCATTTTATGCCATCACAAAATTTCTATTTAATTCTATCGCCAATTCAAAATATTGATGGGGTTTTATCTGGGGTTTACGTAAGGCAAAGGCTGAAGGGTATTGGTCCCACCTCATGTGTTTTAAATACTCAAGCTGCTGTTTCTCCTGTAAACGTCTTTGCAGGAACTATACAAAAGGATTTCCTGGGCAAACGAGGTTCAGTGTGAATGGGAAGGATTCCTTTAATGAGCCATTTGGAAGATTTAAAAAATTCTTTTAGAAAATTTGATGAGATATCAGAATTCCTTCATCAGATCTGAATTCTGCTGAAATGGGAAGCTAAAGTCACAGCATACTGAGGGAACGTTTATTTGGAGGGTTCTTTTCATTTGGTCTTTAAACTCAGCAAGTAGTCTAAATACTAGGTCATATTTGCAAACTTACCTATTTGTCACTAGAGCTGTTTGGTAGATTTGATGAGGTGAGCTTTGGGCTCCTACTGTATGCAAGAACCCGTGACAGCCACTGAAGGGGATGAAAGGCAATTGTAAAGGGATGCACAGGATTGGCCTTTGAGACATTCCTTACATGATCACAGGATTTTAACCACAAGAAAAATGGGGATGGGGTGGGAAAATGAAAAGAACTCCAGGCATAAAGAACAGCTGAGGCAAAGGCATGTGGGAAGAAAGTGTGAGAAGTGCAGAAACAAGTAAGTACTGTTTGGATGCGAGGATGGTGAGGGAGGAGAAGTGACAGGAGATACTGGAGTCTCCTCATGGTGTATAGTAAGTTTGCATCTTTAAAAAACAAATTTCTTCTGTATAGCACAGGGAACTATATTCAAGATCTTGTAATAATCTTTAATGAAAAAGAACATGAAAATGAATATATGTATATATAAGCATGACTGGGACATTGTGCTGTATGCCAGAAATTGACACATTGTAACTGACTATATTTAAATATAAACCAAAAAAAGAACTTCGCATCTTGTTCTAAAGTCTCCAGGCAAATGAACGACATGATCCAATCTCTGCTGGTAGGTCTGAACCAGAATTAAAGAGAGGCCAGTTAGGAAGATTTTGCAACTGCTCGAATTTTTTAAAAAGTATATGGATGCAGGCAAGGATAACAGCAGAGGGAGGAGAAGGAGCGATACTTTTTCAAAGCTTCTAATTCTAATCCATAGGACCTGGCAGCTGTTTATATGTGAGGAATTGTGGGGAGTGAACATTGCAAGATAACTCTGGGCCTTGGACAGTGGGAAAGCGGTGAAACCATCCAGATAAAGAGAAGCCACAAATGCAGGTTTGGAGTGAGTGGAAATGAGCTTGGTCCTGGAGCCTAAGTGTGAGATGCTGGGATGTAACCATGGGGAAAAGCATAGATACATCTCTCTAATCTTGGAAATGTTCCTGATTATAAACAACATGTGTTGGGAGGCGGTGGGACATGCAGACCCATGCCTAGGACAGGGGTCTGTGTGGAGGTCTAGGTGGAGTCATGACATAGAGGTGGGAAGTGGGAGGCAAAGACACGGCCAAGGGAGAGCGTGCAGAAGACTGAAAGAGTCACTAGCCGTGATGTCTTGGAGTTCATTATGTCAGCTAATGATGCGTGGTGGCCTCCGCTAAGCTAAGGGTTTTACCAGCCTCTCCCTTCCCGGCCACCCTGCGCGGTGGGGGCTGCTGTTAAACTGAGCTTGGAGGCTTACACTGATTACAGTCACGCGCAGCTAGCAAGTGGAAGGGCAGGGTCTCCATGCCAGCTAGACCTCACCCCCAAACCTGTTCCTCTCACAGCCCAGGCCGTGTGCTTCGTGTGATGAGGGTAGAAGCCAGACCTCAGTGTCTGGGAGAGAGGGAACAGGAAACTCACCTTTGTTCCAGGCTCACTGTGGGTCTGTGTGTGGCCACACGTGGAGAAATGAGAGAGGGGACAACAGCTGGAGGGGAGGGAGGGTGGCTGCTATTTCAGGGAGGAGCAGGAGGACACTGTTACTCCGGGCCCTGTGCTGGAACATGGAAATAGTTCCACAAAACAGGGCTGGGGGTGTAGCTCAGTGGTAAAGTGCCTGCTTGGCATGAGTGAGGTCTTGGATTCAATCCCCGGTACCTCCATTAAAACCTTTTTTTAATTCTTAAAAAATAACTTTATATTTTATTTATTATTATATTGTTTAATTATTTTATTTTGGTAGGGGGAGGTAAATAGGTTTATTTATTTTTAGAGGAGGTACTGGGGATTGAACCCAGGACCTCATGCATGCTAAGCAAGCTCTCTACCACTGAGCTACACCCTCCCCCCAACATTTTTTTTTAAAAAGGAAAAGTTTCACAAAACAGAAACCTGCATTAAAAATGAGCTTTTAAAAACTAGGCTCTTCCCATTAAAACAGAATGTAGTGACTTGCTCTCTCCTTCTTCCCATGACAAGCGCTATTTCCTATATTTAATATATGCGTAAAAGTATTCATGCATTAGAATTGTACATACTTTTTGGGGTCTCTTGTTTTTTTCTGATGAGAGTATGATATTTCCTTTCAAAATGATAGTGGCATTAAGCTCTGGATCGTGGGAAACAAAAGGAAAATAGGCCATGAGAACATACGAGTTGGCAAAGGGAATACGCAGCAATTGTATACGTCATAGGGCAAGGGAGCTTTAGGGGGAGGGTATAGCTCAAGTGGTAGAGCACCTGCTCGGCATGCATGATGTCCTAGGTTCAATCCCCAAGACCTCCTCTAAGGATAAATAAATAAACAAACCTAATTACCTACCCCACCAAAAAAATAGAGGAAAGATTTTTGTGAGGGGAAGAAAATTCACTTTGCCCTTCTGAAGGAAAAGAGCATTTCTGCCATGGCCTTTGTGGGACACACAAGATCTTCCCCTGGGAACAGGGGGAGGGCTCCTACCAGGGAGGCCACCACATTTGTACGCCTCTGAGGGAAGTAACATGGCAGAGTCTGAGCTGCTGGGCGGCTGTTTTCAGTCTATCATTGTCCCTTCAAACCAGCTATAAGCCTCACGCATCCCTGACTGTCAAGATAGGGCAGGAGGGTTTCTCCTTCTGCATCCAAAGAAGCACCTGGGGAAGGGAAGGCCAGGCCTGTGCTATAAGTCTTTAAAATCAGGGGAGCCACCAGGAGCAGAAAAAGTTGTTGTTAATCCACCCTCGGCTTCAGCCTAGGGGGAGGCATTCTGACTGACCTGGAGCAGGTGGGTGCTGCGGCACACTTGGCAGAGCTCTTAATGGAGGGGGTTTTAACTGAGCTCCTCAAGTCAAAAATATTTGGGCAGTTACAAAAGAGGTTAGATCATTCAAGCAATGTCTACCCAGTGCCAAAACAACGAGCGGGGATGAGAAAAATTGAATCCACTCATTGCTGGGATGACCTAACGCTCAGCCTTAATCTGGAACGGCCCCACCACCTCCACCGCCACCCTACCCCGGGACTAGATGTTTCTGTGAAATACCCAAGGCTGGATGGCCACAAGACCCCATGAGTTCCATGTCAACCACTCCATTCTAATGGCACCAGGATCTGCGAGGCTCGTCCAATGAGCAAACTCAAGTGTCAATTCAGACCTGGCCTCGAGAAGCAGGTTTTCTACCTGCTCTAACCACTGGCCACTGACATCACAGAATTGCGTTACAAGAGGAGGACTGAACCAGAGCTTCCACCTCTGACCTGATTTCCTTAGTTGGCTAGCAGCAGGTGGACAGTCTAAAGCAACGGCAAAGCTTATAAAACAAAGGACCAGTTTTCTCTGAGCCCTAGCATAAATGCACCTCTGTGGAGGGCTGCATGCTGGGAACCAGGATGGCTTGGCTCGAGACCACAACAGCTTGGTTATGCAGCTTTGACCTGCAGCCCTGGGCAGTCGTGAGCAGTAAGCGTACCAGCTTTCCTCTCTGGAATCTTCTAGTCTGACACTGCATTTCATCAGAGGGCTGGTCTAGTCCCTTCAGGTCCTATCTAGGGCAGGGAACAGAGGCAGCCCCAGGTCTGGATCAAGATTCTGAACACATCCCACAACGAGAAAGGGTCTGGGGTAGCCACTTGTCCTGAGGTACCCCCATGCTAACTGTTCTGCTCAAGGGCCGGTGGGGTCTGCCCCTAAACCCTGCTGCCCTTTCCAAATGAGGCCAGCAGGGCCCGACTCTTGGGGATGCTCTTAGGGCCTGTGCCACCTCCAGACATTACAGGGGACTTTTCAGAGGGCCACAGGCATGTATCTTTTTATATATACTTTTGGTTGAACGCTTAACTTGAACTATATGAAATTGCCAATTTTTGTAGATCAGATGTTGTCAAGAATGTCATGCGTTCATCCTCATAGTAGGAATTATGAAAAGAGTAGACTTTGTGGTAGAAAGAACACATTTATGACTGCCCGACCTGGGTTCAACGCTCAGTTCTATCACTTTTCTGTCACGGGATGTGCAACATACACAAATTCCTGCCACGTGCCTAGTACTGTTGTAGGAGCTGGACACACAGTGGTGATGAAGACAGACGGACCTCGCTCTTCATGGTACATTCTAATGGATGTTTATCTTTTGGGGCAGCTTCCCAGCTATGTTGGGCCAGTCACTGGGCCTCTCTGAACTTCAGCTAAGTGTTATGAAGGTTAAATGAGACCATGCGTATTAGGCCACAAATGCATTGATGTCCTTCAATAAATGATACTTCCTGTTATTTTACTGCGGCTCATACAGGGCTCCTAAAAAATATCTACTGAACGAAAGAGCCTTGGAACGCATTGTAGGAATCTTCAAGCCCACCCGCTAAGAGCCCAAACTAGACACCCTGCGGGAGAAGGGTGCCCCCGAGGCGCAAGGGCCACTGAAAAGGGAGCCCACCCCAGGACCTGAAAAGGCTAGCTGTGGTCAGCTCCCATTAAGTCAGGAAGGCGGCAGCACAGCGGGACTTTGGGGAGGTACAATCTGGTTCATCTTTCTTAACTGATGTGCAATCGTTTAATCCGAAGAAACTATGTCAGATTTATTGACTGAGGCAAAGCAGAGGTTGAGACCTCAAAGGAGACATGGAAATTACCTGCAAGAACTTCTGGTTTTAGAAATCAAACAGAATTGGCTCTGGTTAGTGAGAGAATGTGTCTGGACTTCCCACCCCACTGAGTCACTGGCATGCGTGTAAATACAGAGCTACAGATTCTTTTTGCAGCCCAGGGGCCTATTTTCCAGGCTCTGTGTGCAAACAGGCCACAGGGCTATTTCACAGGTCACCCTGCCTACCATTTAAGGCTGCACAAGTCGTGCGGGACAAGGCTGGGTAAGTGCATGGTGGCTACCTAGCAGTACAGCTTCTGATGGTACCTTCACTGTCATCATCGTCCTGAGCTCTGTCCTGGTCTCTGGGTCCGTTCACCACAGGCAGTGTGCAGGGAGTTGAGACCAACAATTGCACTAACTTTTTCTCATACACTTTTCTGGTGGAAGCTGAGGAAGAAAGTGGAGGGTAGTTAAGTTGCTGTTTGTATATGTGAGCTCACTGGATTCAACATAGTTCACAACTTAGCTCTTCATTCTTGCATGTTTCATTATTGCCTAATTACAGCCTTTACAATAAGGTGGACCCCGCAGCTACTCCCCTCATTCCTTTCCTTCCACAAACACTCAAGGTGAGGCCTCTATGGATTAGCCATGGAGGCAGGCCTTGGATGCATCGGAGAACACGGCTGACAAAGCCGTACATCCTGTCTCTGGGGAATATGGACAATAGGTACATAGATAGTTAATACAGTGCACATACTAGAAATGGGGAAAAACCAAAAATCCAGCGTAATATAATCAAGAGTAATTGGTTTTTCAAATGTATCATTACCAAAGGGGAAAGGAGGGCGGGATAAATTAGGAGTTTGAGATTTGCAGATACAAAATTACTATATATAATATAAATAAAAAATAAGATCTTACTATATAGCATAGGGAACTATATTCAGTATAATAACCTATAATGAAAAAGAATATATGTATATAAATGTATATTTTTATACATATATATATAAATATATATGTATATAAATGAATCACTTTACTTTACACCAGAAACTAACACAACATTGTAAATCAACAATACTTCAATTCAAAAAAAAAAAAAGATTAACTAGTTTTTCACCATTGGAAAAAACCAATCCTTTCTGACATCAAAATTACTAGTCTATGAGTAGGATCTGGGTTATTTATGGTTTCTGGTCGTTTTTTTCAATTTCCCTATTTCTATTTTAATGGTTTTTATTGCATATATTCCTTCCATTGTAAATAATTTTAAATCTTCGGAGGTAGCTTATAAGTAATAATTGACTAGACTCTAACATTTGCTGCATACGTACGTAGTATTGGGCCGGGTGAAAATCCAAGCTTGCCAAGTTCATTCTGTAATTCAGCGTCACTCAGACACTTCACATCCACCATGGTGGTAAAAGTTTGGTCTCTTTTCTGACAGTGAAATCCTTGAAATAGCAAAAACAGTAAGTTCATTAAGACAGACGTATAAAAGAGAACTAAAATTTTCCAGTCCACAAAAGTGTTTACAACCGCAACTCCCCAGACTTGGAGGTACATAAGTAACAAGGCAAAAACCACCATTTTCTGCTGTTTTTCTCTCATAAATCTCTTTCGGGTTTAGTTGCCTTGACGCAAAGCTCTGGATGGGTGTCACTTCTCCCAGTGTCTTTGCGGTTCAATTTTTTCTGATTTTTCTACTCAGCTAACGTAAGAGGAATCTTCCGCACCAAATGAACAAATATTTCCATTACTGCTTAGGAACTCTGAGTGAGACCCAAGCTCTGAGAAGATAAGAAGTTAATTAAATATGAAAGAGCTGGGAGAGATTTTTTAGTGAGTTAAATAAAAGTTATTTATCCCTGCCCTCCTTTTGATGAGAGCACAGAGAGTAGGGAGCATTCAGTTACTGCAAACAGTAGTCTTTTCACACTTGTAATTTAGCTCTGAACATAACGAGATGGTAGTTTTTAATTAACCGCCAGCAGACTTTGTAATTGCTGAATTGGCATTTGAAAAAAAGTCAGCTATTCATTCTCTGGCACACAAATTGATTTACATAGATTTACCCAGTCTTGGTATGGCTTTCCAAATCTGCACAGCCTCAAGTTCAATCAGTTTTATTCTTCTGATGCCTTTATCCCCCCAAACAGACCCCTCCAACCACTTAACAAAATCCTGAAAAGACATTAAAAGGTTTGACATGCATCTGTCAAAACTTTTATCAGAAATTTTTAATTTAGGGGTTTATTTACTGTACCTCGTTTCTATCATGTTTCCAGTCTTTTTATTTTGCAGTGAAAATGACTGCAAGACAATTACTCAGCATAGGAGGACCTGGACCAATTTTAAGTAATGACTTAGCCTTTATTGGTGATCAGGCAATGTCCAATTAGGGAGAACATTGTACGCAAGCCAGAAAAAGCTGCGAACTGTCACGTTTAACAGGGTTGTTCAAGAACGCCTCACTTACCAGTTCTCCACCTTGAAGCTATGCTTTGACCAGAATCACATTCTGGTACATAGTAGGTGCTTAGTAAATGTCAGTTTCCTTCTTTTCTATGTGTTTGGGAAGCTGAGTTGACTCATTCAGGTCACTAGTAAACAACCTAACGTTATGAAGGAAAAGGACAATGCACCTCAAATTTTTGGTTTTTTAAAACTGGAAGCTAGCTTAGGCAGATCCTGTGACACTTCTTCTGGAGAACAGCTGTCTGTTGCTCTGCTACCTTCCCCCAAAATAACCTCCAAAAGAGCCCTCATCAATTTCAAGTGACACTAGACAATTGCTTAGAGGGAACACACATATGGAAGAAAAATACTCAAATAGAATCCAACTGAGTGATTAATCCACTTACCGGTTTACATGGTTGTCTAAAGTCTTTGCAGTTGGGTTGGCTACTAAAGCAGGGTGAGTTTCACCCAAGGGCTCCCACCAGCAGCCCATCCCTTTTTGCCTGTTAGATACTATGCTAATCATAATACTGACAGTGTGACATCAGTAACCTCCACGGTAACAGACTGATGTGAAAGTCAGATGATTAATTTAACCTGAGTTCAAACAGAACGCGGCACTGGTCGACTTCATAGGCAGACTGCCATGAGAAAATGTCAAGAGATGCAGAGAAGTTATCATTATGCACAGGAAGTGAGAAGGAGCTGCTACCAAGCCAAACGGTGCCAAGAAACTGGGACAGTAAAGGAGAAATCGAACAGACTCAAGCGCCTAGGCCATCATCAAAAGACTCACAGTAGTCGATGGGTGATTTGGCCATAGACTCTAGGGAAAATGGGAAAGTGGAAAGAAACCCATATTAACTTGTTAAGGAACTGCTCATTTAGGAGTAAGAATCAGTATCGCATATACACAAATAATAGGTTGCAGAATTTGGATGGTTTGGCCTTTTCAAAGCTGCTCCTATCATCTCATTTCATCCTCTGCACACTCCTGTCAGACCTCTGGCACGGATTTTACTTTCTATATTGCAGAAGGCTGGTTTTGGTTGTTGTTGCTTTGCTTTGTCTAAGGGAAGTCCTCTCAGACTATTAGCTTGGGGATTTCAAAAAAGACTGCGGAGACTTTAAAAACAATTTTGCAAGACAAAATGTAGCTCTGTGAAAACACAATGCCTTAATTAAATACCAGGGCTGGGAGGGAATCATTGGAAGGGGTTAAAGGGACAGCGGAGCCAGCCTGCCTGGAATTAAATCCCAGCTCTGGCTCTCACCAGCTGGGTGACTCTGAGTGGGGTAAGTTACTAACCTCGCTGTGTCTCGGTTTCTTTGTCTGTAATGGGGATGACAATGGTACCCACCTCAGAGGGCTGTTATGTGGATTCACTGAGTTATGATACACATAAAGGGCTTGGCACATAATACTATATAAATATTTTCCATTATTCTAACCCTTCATGAGCCCTACCCTCAGAAAATTTCTACATCCAGTCTCTTTCTCAGGCAACTCTGTCTCATTTACACTTGCCCATGGGACTCTACCATTTCAACACTTTCCAGATTCTGGGAAAGGGCTGAACATCTTTGTGTGCATGGTCAGGGAGGCTCATTGAGTGATCCCAGGCTGTGGTTCCAAGGGCTATGGCTCCAGAGTTTCTGAATAGAGCATCAGTTTCCAAACAAACATGTAATGCAAACATTTGCCAGCATCCAAACATTGGATTCACCAAACAAAGACTCTGAAAATTGACACATTTGTTGCAATCAAAGCAAATAAATGATAGGCTTGGGTTATTAGGATGCACAAGCATTTTATTTACATTTCCCAGAATTGCTTTCAACAAAAGAGCAGCCAGCAGGTGGAACCGCTTCCATTTAAACAGACTACTGGGATGAAACAGGCATTCCTAAAATGTTTTCTTGATCAGACTTCCGAGGCTAAAACACGCTAGGTTGACAAAGGATTCAATTCGATGATCTGATTGGGTTGAGCCCCCTATTAAGTGCAAAACCACTCTGTCTGAAGTTATTTTCTTGATGATTCCAACAGCATATCCATGATTCTATTCTCAGTGTTATTCTGTTTAAGAATTCCTGTGCTGTGTGGAACCCTGCGATACTTGGTTTTGATGTTTACAGCACCCATTTCCCTTGGTTTTATCTGTGAAGTCCTGGTCATTAGCTTGTTTTTTGTTTTATTCTCTCCATGGCTGCAAAGATATTTTACTCCATTTCTCCAGGGAAACAAGTTTTAATTGCCAATCGACTAGGTATTCAAGATGATAAGGTATCTAAACCCTGAGAGCTTCCTCCTTTCATTAAAATGGAGATCCAATTTCTTTTCCCTTAGTACCACATGCTGTTATTAAACTGAAATAACGGAAATAGTAAAAGCCAGATGTCACTTCAGTCTCAGGTTTGACGCAGGGCACAATTTCCTCTCCTCAAGTTTAATCTGCTGTTATTTACTAACCCCATCCTTTGGAAGAATGCACAATTTAAATGGAAATGCAATTTACATAGGGGAGCAGATAGTAGATTTGCAGTTTCAATTGCCAATAACCATTCGCAAAGAGGGAAATCAACTAAAGCAAAGATCAGCAGCTGTCAGGCGGCCGTCTGCATAGCTTGCCATTCTCCCACAACTTTCCTCTTGAAGCCACCTGCCTCTGAGCCCCAGCGAGGCAGGTACAAAGAAGAACGGAGGCATTGCTGCAGATATTTCAAGCTGTACTTACTGTTGACTGGGGGAGAAAGGAGGAAGTTTGGGTTTTAACAAGCTAATCCGGTTGCATCATTGTTGAAATCATTAACTGACCAATTTCTTCCAACAAACTTTTATTGATCATCTCCTACGGGACAGATTTTACACTTGGCCTCAACTAGGTAGAGAGAGAAGAGAATACAAAGAGACAAAAGCTGACAATCCTTCTTTTAAGGGGCTCGTTTCTTTAAAGAGAAGAGAAAGGAAATGATGGTAAGAAAATAAACTAAGCCGTTAACTGAGTGCTGCAGGAGCCCAGAATCGGAAGGTTCAAAGGGTTCAAAGTTCCATTTGGGCTGAGACTTCTAGCCAGGTGGACAGGTTGGGCCAAGTGATGAAGAGTTCTGTGGGCCACGCTGAGGATTTAACCCATCATCTCTGGAAGTTGGTAAGTGGGACATGGCATGACTAAATTTATGGCTGACACTGGATGGAGGGTGCTGTGTTTATGCATTTGATACAATTTAGGCTGGATTCTGAGTGGAGAACGAGGTGGTAGGGCAGAGTCTGGAGGTTACCTGGGGGAGTTATTACAATAGTTCAGGAAAGAGTTGATTCGGACTTGGACCAGGCCAGTTTGCAGGAGGACTCAAGAGGAAGACACATGACTCAGGAACGATTTAGGAGCTGGAACGGCCCGGACAGGATGTCCGATCGGAGGGTTCCTCTTTGCCTCACTTGCACAGGCCCACCTCGGTCTATATCTTTTGTCTCAGCCACAAGCCTGTTTCACAAGGAACCATCTGGAGTCTGGTCTACACAGCACTGACACTTAAAAAATTACCCTGTACTCGCCTAGTCAACCCTTGATTCTCCACACTACTTGAAGGCAGCAGCAACGCAGATAATCCATAACTCTCTTCTATTTGGCTTTGGAATTAATTACACTTTTAAGAGCAAATTTGCCTTCCTAATTAATCTTTCTTCGGCTAATATTAAAATTAACTAATATTCTCGGAGCCCATGACAGCTGGGCAAGGGGAAGGAGGAGCAGGGGAGGGGCGGGCAGGGTAGCTGCTCAGACTCAGGCTGAGCAGCAGAAGAAAGCCACGCTGCACTAGAATTCCACGTGGATCACCCACGGAGGCCACGGGCTGGGCCTGGCTCATTGAGGGGAGGCTGTCTTGCCTAGAATGCCCACCCTGCTGCTTCCTGCCTATCCAGACCTGACTTGTTCTGTAGGTCCCACTCTGAATTCCACCTTCTCAGAGCCCTTGGGAGTTTAGTTAA